CTTAATCAATATATAAAATAATTAATAAAACTCTGTATTTTATTTTGAATTACTGTTAAAAAAAATTTGTATTAAAAAATGAAAAAAGCGAAAAAATAAAACAAATAATAAATTACAACCAAATATAAAGAAAACGATAATTATTTTTATATCGTATAAATTTTTCTAGTGGAGTTAATAATGTATGATTCCAATCTTGATCAAGTGCAAAAAGTTCTAAAAACATTAAATATTTTAAATGATTATCATTATTATTAACATTTCCAGTCATTGCTAATAAAATTTTTTCAAATGACTGTAATCTATTATCAATAGCAAAACTCATTGAATTTAAATTAGGAAAACTTGGTATTAAAACATTATTAACACAATCAATTGATATTGTTTCTGTTAAAGCTAATTGTAATTTTTTGATTTTTTTCATATTTTGACTTATTGTTTCATTTATTTGACATGATATTAAATGTGTTAATGGTAAAGTTAATGAACTTAAATTTGTCATTTTTGATAATAATTGTGCAACAAAACCATCTGTTATACATGTACCATATAATTCAAAATGTTTTAAATAGACAAATGATATCGATTGATTTAATAATAAACGTGATTGTTGTTCGATTGGTGCTATATTTTCATAAAGACCTAAATAAAATGAATGAACAAGTGGACAACGTATTGTATGTTGTTGTTGATTAAGAATTGTTTCATTTAATACTAAATCAAAATGACGTATACGTGAATATGCATTAGGTATATTTGATAAAGAAGATTTAGTTAGAAAATTAGTTAAATGTGATTTCATCAATGGTATTGTGCATATGATATGTTTATATGAAGTTATTTCATAAATAATTCGAATATGATTAGTAATTAAAAATTTTAATTCTTGAATTTTTTTTGTTATAAAAACTAAATCACGTTGTGCATCAATATTCAACGATATATGTAAATCAAATGTTTTTAAATGATGTAATTTATTTGTAAATAAATTATTCCAACGTTCATAATCAATATGTTCATTATCATGCGATGATTCTATACCTGTTGTATATGTATAAATAAATGATGTTAAATTCGGACATAAATCAATAAGATTTTCAATATATTTAAATGATATTGAACATATATTTAATTTTAAATAATTTAATAATAATAAAATTTGTTGTGAATTTATATTTGAATTAATAATTGAAGAATTTTCTGATATATGACATGTTAAACGTTTCATATAGATCATTGAATATAAAAGTGTAAAAAGATTATTTATATCCGACATTTTAATATGTAATTCTTCAACAAAATAAATTTCTTTTTCTTCAATATTTAAATTTGATAAATCAATTTGACAATTTGGCATACGACATGTACGTAATGTTTTTGAAAGATATTCAATTGGTACAACTAAATAATCACTTGTTTTAATTATTAAAGTTTTTAAAAATGGAAAATAAGACATTAATTTTATTAATTGTTCGATTGTGGGTTCAGTTAAAATTAAATTTTTAACTTGATCTTGTTGAAGATATTTTGATTGTTCAAGATAATAATTAATACCATCAATAGTTTGTTTATTTGATAATTTAATTGAATAAATTTGTTGATAAAATTCTGGTAATATATAATGACATATATATAGAAAAGTTTTTTGTTGAACATATGATAAATCAAGATTTAGACGAATACCATGAATTATTGAATTAAAACGTCGATTTAGATTATAAAATGAATATATTAAATCGCAACCGGGTATATAATCAAAGATTTCTAGGAGAATTTCATCGGGCATTGATTCTAGATTCATACGATGCATGGTTAAGTCAGGAAAAAAAAAGAAAATCTAAATGACAAAAAAATTTGTACTTGACAATGACCGCACTTGTTGGTCGTTGGGAGGTATTGAATGGTTGTGTGACCGATGGATGAAAAAGAGAAATAGAGGAAGAAGAAGAAGAAGGAAAAAAAAAGAAAAAGGAACTCGTGCGCGATTTTTTTATGTTTGTGCTCTCTCGTCAATGACCTATCGTACGATTACACAAGCTAGCGTTGTACCATCCATTACTATACTACTTATATTCTTATGTAATTTTAACTGAATAATTTTCTATATATTTTTTTCGCTAGTTGTACTACAGTCTGAACAAACAATACCGTACTTTTTCTTGCGGTTATGACATGCAGTAGGCGCTGTCAGTAAATGTATGAAAAAACGTCCTTGTCAATACCATATGCAGAAAATCAAGGACGTAGAAAAGAAAGATATACGGCGGATAGATTGTGGAATAGAAGAGAAACAAAAAAAAA